AGCTGCGCTTCCCGGCTCATGCCTGGTTCCCCTGCTGCACTTCTGCCGGCTCTCAATACATTTAAAAGGCAGGACTAACTGCCGGGACGGGGAGCTAACCTTGCTGCGGCTCTGCAGTTTCCCCCGCTTATCGATTAGTCAATGGAAATTTCACAGATTAGTTGATTAAAGGCAATTTAACATCCCTAGTGCGGAAAGAGAGCTGCGCTTCCCGGCTCATGCCTGGTTCCCCTGCTGCACTTCTGCCGGCTCTCAATACATTTAAAAGGCAGGACTAACTGCCGGGACGGGGAGCTAACCTTGCTGCGGCTCTGCAGTTTCCCCCGCTTATCGATTAGTCAATGGAAATTTCACAGATTAGTTGATTAAAGGCAATTTAACATCCCTAGTGCGGAAAGAGCCCAGGGCCCATCCTGAATCCCCCCTAACGGCAACGCGGGCGCCGTGCCCTGGTACCCCCGCAGGTGAGGCCGGCCTGTCCCTCAAGGCCCTTTTGATCCAAGAGCAGATCCTCGTGCCAGTGCCTGCTGGGGAGGCCTCCATGGTCCAGCTCGGAGGGCGCTGCTCAGCTGAGCGCGAGCGGGGGAGGGTGCCACCAGCCCCAAGGGGCGAATGCGAAGCGGTGAGACAAGCGTCCGCCCCGGGGGGCGAGACCGGCCACTCACAAGAACGCCTCCTTCATGCGGGCCTCCTTCCGGGGCTCCTCCTCACTGTCATGGCTGTTTCCTGAATGAGGCTCCGCTCTGAAAGGGGACAAGCCTGCGTCAGCCGCCTGAGACACAGCGAGCCAAGAGAAGGGGGCAGCTGGGGAGACCCCAGCCAGCCCACCAACGCCAGGTCCTGATCCGCTTCCTGGAGCAGCCTCAGCTCCACCTTCTCCTCCCGCCGCACTGGGGCGAACTCTCCTGCCACACGCGGGCCTAGCAGCAGAAGCAGGGGGCTTTGGCCTTTAGCAGCCATTTGTTTCCACCATCCTGAGACCAGGAGCCGAGCAAACCGTCACGAGGCCTCACCCACAGCGTTAGCGGTAACCCAGCGGGGAAGTGACTCGCCCACATCACACAGCAGAGCTGGGAGCAGACCCCCGGACTAGGCGCGGGGCTCCCGGCAACCACACGCCTCTTTACAGCCACCAGGGACCCGTTCCAACCGGGAAGTCCCATAGACCATCCCGGCAAAGGGCCTGCCCTGTGGTACCTGCCAGGTTAGCAGGGCCCTCAGGTTTCCCTACCTCCTGTACGTGTCTGAAGCAGCAGCATAGTGTAAGGGAGTGCAGCCTTTACAGTCCGTCTCGTTAATACTGGCTCCGGCGGTGACCAGCGTCACCGTACACTGATAGCTGCCGTTGGCGGCCGCGTAGTGCAATGGAGTCCTGGGTGGGAGAGAAGGGAACGGGATGAGACGTGCCAGCCGTAAGCCTGAGGAGAGAGCAGCCTCCTAAGGCAGGGCTCTGTGAGGATAGATCTCCGTAACATTTCCGTCTAACCGTGTATCACTCTCATATAACTCTGTATTAAGAGAAACTTTGTAAGTCCTTTTATACGTATATATACACGCACCTATACACACCTATACACACACACACACACACACCCCTCTATCCTTTTAGATACACACACACACACACACACCCCTATCCTTTTAGATACATACACACACACACACACACACACACACACACACACACACACACACACACACACCTGTCCTTTTACATACATCTTTCCTTTTTATAGAATCCCTTGTATCTAGTATGTTATAGGTCTTCGGAAAACTTAAGGTAAAGAAAAAAGTCTTCTCCTGTTGAAATGAATGAGGTGAGGTGTGAATGGAGAATGAAAGGGGAGCACCTCCAGCAGCAGTTGCAAGGGTGGAGAGGGGCTGGGAGCCAGATCCAAGACAATACCTGTGAAGTGAGCTCATTGAAAAGAAGACTGGACATACAGACGGGCTTGGGAGTGGAGCAGCAAGTGCCTGCCCTCGGAAGGACCCTCTTTGAAGCAGCATTAAAAAAGGCCAGGTGATGACTAACTGGCTGCGTGAGAGGGATAAACAGGAGGCATCTTGCAGGGGGACCCCGGGTTTTCATCTTGTCAACATCGGAGCATCGATCCGGATGGGCAGAAGCCCGGCTCCACCTTTCCCCTATCTCACTCACCTGGCCATTGCGGGAGGGAGGGAAGGTGGGTGTGGGTGTGAAAAAAAGATCCCAGGTGAGAGAGATGCCTTATCCCCCCTGAAAAAGATCCCAGGTGCTTCTAAGCACAACATCTGCGGGCACAGCTGTGGCCGGGCGCAACCAAACCCGATGGCCATGTGCACCGCATGGCAAGCTGCAGCCCCCAGAATCACAGCTCCCCCGTGTCCCTGAACACGGGGGTCAGCAGCGCCTCTTGGAGGCGTGGAGCTGGGCGCCCGCTCGGGAGAGACACGGAGGCGGGTGATTTCTGCTCTTCAGGCACCTCCAGCTCAGCCTTGCCACCCACTGGTGGCTCTGTGTCTCCAGAGCTTTGTGGTTAAACACAGCCCGGCAGGGGACTCGCCCTGCAAGCCCAGCTCGGCCCCCCCAGCCGCGGGGGAGCGACTGCTCACCCTCCGCCTCTCTCCATCCCTTCCCACAGGTCTGCTGCCATCGGTGCTTACCTTCCAAATTTATCTCTCCTCCTCAAGTCAGCACCGCTGCTCAACAGCAAATTAAGACACTCAATGTTCCTGCGGAGAGAACGGAAGGGAAGCCCTGAGGCAGGCCGGGGTGAAGCAGGCGTCCCTCTTCCGGTCTGCGCCGCCGTCGCCTGGGGCGGCTCTGCCGACCCGGGGAGTGCGCAAAGTCTCCTCTGCTGTCCCTCACCACCCTGCAAGCAGCATGTGGCACCTCAAAGCGTCATGTGCTCCTGACAGTGTGGGAGGAGGCTTTGTGCGCTTCCCCACATCCAGGTTAATTAAGGCCTGGGGGCAGGGGAGCACGCAAAGTCTCCTCATCTCCCCTCCTCCCTGCAAGCAGCGCGTGGTGCTTCAGGAGGAGGCTTTGCACGCTGCCCCACCACCAGACCAATCAAGCCTGGGGCAGAGCAGCATGCAAAGCCTCCTCTGCTCTCCCTCCCACCCTGCGAGCAATTAGGTCCTGGGGGCGGGGAAGCGCATGAAGTCCCCTCCTGCCCTGCCAGGAGCATGTGGCGCTTTGAAGTGCCACCCGCTGCTCGCAGGGTGGGAGGGAGAGAGGAGGAGGCTTCGCACGCTCCCCCCCCCGCGGACCAATCAGGGCCTGGGAGCTAGGGAGGAGTGTGACGCTTCCTTCGCCCTGCCCT